GCTATTGTGAATAGAACTGCAACAAACATACGTGTGCAGGTATCTTTTTTGTAGAATGATTGGGGTTCCTCCAGTTATATTTCCAATAGGGGAATTGCTGCATCATATGAAAGGTCAATTTCTAGTTCTTTCAGAAATCACTGCACTGTCTTCCAGAGTGGTTGCACTAGTTTGCATTCTTACCAGCAGTGTAGAAGCATTCCTTTTTCTCTGCATCCTCGCCAGCATCTGTTGTTGTTTGTGTTATTAATGATGGCCATTCTTGCTGAGGTTAAGTGGTATCTCAATGTGGTTTTGATTTGCATTTCTCTGATGATGAGTGAGGCTGAGCACCTTTTCATGTGTCTCTTGGCTGCCTGTATATCTTCTTTTGAGAAGTGTCTATTCATGTCTTTTGCCCACTTTTAGCTGTCACCCTTTTTTGACACTGCTGGGAGTTTCAGATTAAGGAATTCCTAAGAAGAAATGGTTAGGCCTCTAAGATCACCGAGACCACTGATGTCCAGACCACAAGCCTCTCCATGGTGGCCTCTCCACCCTCTCTTTCCACCACTACTCACTGCTCTAACACTCTGATATACTTACGGCTGCCAGATAAGCCATGCTACTTCCAGCTCTGTGTCTCTGTACAAGCCATTCTCTTCACTTCAAATGTCCCGCACTCTGCTAGCCAAGTGAGCATCTACTCACCTTATAAGATTTAGCTTGGGCCAGATGCAGTGGCTTTCACCTATAATCCTAGCACTTTGGGAGGCTGAGGTGAGAGGCTTGTCTGAGCCTATGGGTTTGAGACCAGCCTGAGTAACTTGGTGAGAGAAAAAATTAGCAAAAAAAAAATTAGCAGCGTATGATGGTGACCACCTGCAGTTCCAGCTACTTGGTAGGCTGAGACAGAAGGATCACATGAGCCTAGCAGGTTGAGATGTGTTGACTGTGAGCATGCCACTGCACTCCAGCCTGGGCAACAGAGTGAGACTCTAACTCAAAAATAAATAAATCAATAAATTCAGCTCAAGACTTGACTCTTTTCAGGCCTTATTGACTTCCTAAGGTGAAAGTGACAGCCTCCTCCTTTGTGTCCTCACTAGATCATGAACAACTATGGCATAAAATCTTTATTGTTTTTACCTATTTGTGTGACTTTTCCTGCCCCCACTAGATTATCACTTAGGATACGGATACAGAGCTTCGAACACAGTAAATGCTCAATAACTGGGGGAAAAGGGAAGTCGCAGGAAGAGAGGAGCAGATGAACAGATAAATTTTGCTGCTGTTCATCTTAGAATTTTTGGAATGAATTATTTTATTTTAAAGGTCTTATGCATGTGTTTAGCATAAGGAAAAGAGGATAAAGGAATTATTTCTATATTCTGGTTTAGTATTTGGCATGTGACTTTGAGACCAAGAAAGTATTCTGAAATCAAAACTGAATACAAATCCTGTGGTCTCATACACTTATGACACTCTAGAGTCTTGGGATAATTTAATCATCTAGCTTATCTCCTTGTAATTCCAATGGAGAAATTGAGGCTTAGAGAATGAAGTGATTAATCTGCTGTCATATAGCCACTAGGCGCCAGGGTCATAGATGGATGTGCTCTGTTGATCTCTAAATCCTATGTTCATCAATTATGCTATACTTATCTGAACACTGAATCCAACATGGAAAGTATATCAAGATGACTTCATAAATCAAAAATAGCATAAGAGGCCGGGCATGGCGGCTCACACCTGTAATCCTAGACACTTTGTGGGGGAGCCAAGGTAGAAGAATCCACTTGAGTTCAAGAGTTTGAGACCAGTCTGGGCAATGTAGCAAGACCTTGTTTCTACAAAAAATCAAAAAATCGACCAGGTGTAGTGGCATGTGCCTGTAGTTCCAGTACTAGGGAGGCTGAGGCAGAAGGCTTACCTGAGTCTAGGAGGTTGAGGCTGCAGTGAGCCATGATCATGCCGCTGCACTCCAGCCTGGGTGACAGAATGAGACCCCACCTCAAAAAAAAAAAGCACAAGTAAAAAAAAGTTGTGATTTCATGTTATCTCTGTCAGTAGCTCCTGTAAGCTAAGAGTATTTTTTTTAATTAATCAGTATTTTTTATTATGGTTTTGTGGGGTACAGTTAAGGGTTAGGTGTACAATTACGTTTCATTCAGGCACCCTGTTGATAAGAGGTGTTTTCCCATCCCCCGACAGATATTTGCTACTGTTAATCCCATCCCCCTCCCCCCCATAGTTTCCCAGTACCGTCAGTCATTTTAAGAGTATTTTTTTATTTTAACTCAGTTTGGTTTACATATCACATCAGTTAAACAAACTAATGGGATAACGGGAAGACTATCAGGCAAGTTTGGTTTCAGCAGGGCGTTAGCCAGTCTTTCTGTTCTCGTTAGCCTGGTTCCTGTCCTCAGTCTGGTTCACAAGCTTCAGGTTAGGAAAACAGGAATACAAATGACTCTCCTCTTGGGCAAGAAGAAAATGAATTTAACAGTCATCATTCAGCACACAAAAGCAAGACAGCATTAGGAGTGGAGTGATTTAATATGCTGCCACTTCCCTCTTGCTAACTGAATCAGAGGCCCTTTGACAATGGAAAAGAAAAATCATAGATTTAGTTTCTTTCCTAATTACTGACTTCAGCATATTAATAAACTTTATTTCCTATTGAATGTGAACATGCTCTAGAGAAAAGAATAATGCTTATTTGAAAATTAAATTTAGAAATAATGAATTACAGCAACAAGTGGAAAATAAGAAAATAAAACCCCATTTTATACTGATGTCTTACAAAATTCCCTTTTCCTAATAAAGAGCCCTCTTGTTTTAACCATGTGCTATTTCCTGGAAATTTATTTTGTCAGACAAATGGTTGATTTGGGTGGTAATTACTATCCTGCTTTCTCATTTGTTCTGTGGCTAATTTTAAGTTGGAAGTTACTTTTTTTTTTTCTGTGTGTGTGCTTACTGCATGGCAGGAAAATGCAGTTTTTAATATGTATTTTGGGGGGCTGTTTGACTAGAATTGCTTATTTCTGAGACGCTAAATGCATTTGGTTTATGGAAGCATCAGAGCATCAATCTGCCCTCTGTCACACAGGCCCACATCTTTTCATGTGGCAGACCAAGGTTTGAAGTCAGGTGCCTTGATGCAATCTGCCAGACAGTGGAAGATACAGGAGAGTATTTGGGGATTTACTTCTACTGAAGTGTCTTAAGGAATTTTCTTTCCTCAGCCACAATCCTATAATCATGACTAGTCTATCAAGGCCAAAAAGAGAGTGTGCTTTTCACCTTGTAGGAAAGAGAGCCGACTAAATATACCTCACAGCAATGGACAACCTTCCTGGTGCATGTCCTCAGCCAAGACTGCCAATGAGATTATTGGTGGAAGAATTAGGAGGGTAAAGAAAGATGCTTTTCATCCTGTGGTTGCCAGAGATCCCTTCAACCCACTGGGAGCACTCCCAGCTGGCATGTTCTCAGAATGCAATGTTCATTCAACAGATTCACACTGACCATCTACACTGTGCCTGGCCTCATGCTAGGTGCTCATGATATGATCCTAAACAGGACAGGTCAGACTCTGCCTCCATGGTAGTGACAGTCTAGTAGAAAGGATAGATGAATTAAATAAAAGTTCTTCTACATTTTAACTTTCTGGGATGGAAACAGAGGAGTAGAAACAAATAACAAGAGAACTGCTTCCTTTAGATCAAGTATTCAAGGAGGACCTCTCTGAGGAGGTGCCATTTAAGCTGAGGCTTAAAAAAGAACAGCAGCAGGTACAGAGAGGAGAAAGGAACACTCAGAACATAAGGACCACAAGAACATAGTGTTAACCCAAGGAGAGTCTGGGGAATTATCTGGGCTGATGAGTACAGTGTCTACCTCCATCTCACCTTCCTTGGGTCCTCACCAGAGTCTGGGCAATGACAAAACAGGCCAGGCCCGGTCTGGCCATGAGACACCAGGCTGCAGAGGGAAGACAAACTGAAGGGATATGGCAGGCGCTGGAGTTTTAAATGAACCAGAGAACAAGTCCTGGAAGGTGAAATTATGACAAAATAAAATACACATGGCTGGGAGGTGGGTGGCTGCTGAAATCAAAAAGGGAGGTCAGAGAGTCAACAAAAGCAGCACCCTGGAGGAGGCTGAGTAAACTCTGGTCATAGGTGACCCAGGCACATCAGTGTTCATCATGGTCCCAGGGAAGTCAGTAGCCTGCTGGAAAACTGTGTAATTTCCTGAGACAGAGTAGGACACAGGGCTGCTATAGAAGGAGCAGGGTGTGAGAGGAAGGGAGTTAGTAGGGCCTGTTTAGTGGCTTTTCATGGATATGTGCTGATAGTGATAGTGGCGGGCGATGATGGCTGTAGAAGGAAGGATGATGGTGGGGACAAGGGCAGGGTTGTTCACGCCTGCCCATGAGTCAATCCCCTGAGCAGTTATTCAGTTTGATTTCCTAATGTATCTTCATTAGAGACATAGTAACTTGTTCTGCATTCAGCATAATGGAGAAAGCCAGGATTCTGAGGGAGAGATGGAGGAGACTTGGCAGTGAGTCTCTCTGTCCCCAAGATGCCCCATCCCAGGAAAGCAGGCTGGCAGCCTGCTTTCAGACTTCCAGAGAGAATGGCCACCCCCAAGACAGGTGCTTTGCCAGCAGGCACTCCAGCCAATGTCTGTAATCTTAACAGCTGTGATGTAGCAATTATGGTCTCAGTTTACAGATGTGCCTCCTGCAGTTCAGAGTGCTTCTGTGACATGTCCAAGGGCTTACTTTTTGAGCGACAAAACTGGAATTCTTATGACTTCTGTCAGACATCAAAACCCTTATACTTCCACGCATGCGTTTTCTGACATCAGAAGTCTGTCTCAGAGAGCTGTTTATGTGACTCCCTCTCCATGATGTGTGAGGGGAAACAGCTTCACTTGAACTTGACCTGGAACCCCTCGGAGACAGGAGACCTGATGCCAAGGACATGGGGATCACCTTTGCTTTTGTTCTTCATACAGTGCTCCAGAAATTGCAGCGGGGGCTTCAAGATCCGTGAGATTCAGTGCATGGACAGCCGGGACCACCGGAGCCTGAGGCCATTTCACTGCCAGTTTCTGGCTGGCATTCCTCCTCCACTGAGCGTGAGCTGTAACCCTGAGCCCTGTGAGGAGTGGCAGGTGGAACCCTGGAACCAGGTATGGCCCCCCAAAAGTGAGATACACCCTCGTACAATCTGGCAAACCATGAATCTCTGTGTCAGTGCTTGAGTGTAGAAATCAAGGAAGACCACACCTGAGTCATGCCAATGACTTGCCTCCATTCGGTGACCCCCATACTGTATTGGGGAAGCTGAAAGGGTTGAAAACTTTCAAGAGCTGAAATAATTCCATGGAGAAGGCAATGTTTTATGGTTTCAAACATGATAGTTCAGTGTTGTATTACAACCTGGCCTCCCAGTGGATGTATTGGGGAGTTGGGCTCCCTGCTGGGGAAATGAGCACGATAGAATGGTTTGAACAAGGACTGCTTTGATGAGAGCCATTTAGGACACAGCCTCACCTGCCTCTCTGAGGCTTCTGCAGTCAGGCTGGGGGAAATGGTCATGTCCTCTCCACATACAGAATATTTTTAGAGTTCCATCTCTCAGTTAAGCGTTCAGGTCATTATTTGCATAAATAAAGAGGCGCGCGCGCGCGTGTGTGTGTGTGTGTGTATACATGTGCATACATGCATGTATTTGTGTGCTCCCTCTATTGTGAGGCCCCTGACTCTGCTGGGTCTTTATTTATTACTTGTTTAACTTTTAATTTTAAAGATGTAGGGTACGATTCAGGGTTAGGTATACAATTGTTCATTATGCAGGTACCCTTGTTGATGAGTTTACCCCTCCTCCCCTGGCAGTTTCCCACTACTGCCAATCCCTCCCCTCTCCCCTGGCAGTTTCCCTCACTGCCAATCCCTTTCTTATAGTATTATGATCATTGTTCAAGGTCCGCTTATGAGTGAGAACATATAGTACTCTGTTCTTCATTTCTGTGATAGATCACTGAGAATGATAGACTCTAAATCCATCCAAGTTGCTGCAAAGTCCATTTGTTGGTCCTTCTTTATGGTTGCATAATATTCCATTGTGTATATGTACCACATTTTTTTTTAATCCAGTCCAGTTTTGATGGGCAGCATGGTTGGTTCCATGTTTTTGTCATTGTGAATAGTACTGCAATAAACATGCATATACTGGTATCTTTTTTGTAGAATGATTTGAGTTCCTCCAGGTATATTCCCAATGGCAGGATTGCTGTGTCATATGGAAGGTCAATTTCTAGTTCTTTCAGAAATCGCTACACTGTTTTCCAAAAAGGTTGCACTAGTTTGCATTCCCATCTGCTGGCTCTTCATTATACTTTGACACATGAAAACAAGTTTACTCTCCTTTGGTGAAGTACAGTGATCTCATTTTCAATAGATAAATGCTTCAATAGCTAAAACATATTCCCAACTGTATCTATGTATGATAGGGAGAAGACCAGAAAAGAACCCAGTGTGTCTTGCATGTGTCCATGAGCTAAGCACTTAACTTAAAATACTTAGTTTAATTCTCTTCATGACCTGGATGATAGGCCTTAGTAATCCCGTTAAAAGTTGAGACTCAGCAGGGTGCGGTGGCTCAAGCCTGTAATCCCAGCACTTTGGTAGGCCAAGGTGAGAGGATTGCTTGACCCCATGAGTTCGAGAATAGCCTGGGAAACTTGGCAAGAACTCCTCTCTACAATAAATTTTTAAAAATAGCTGAGTATAGCCGGGCTCGGTGGCTCAGCCTGTAATCCCGCGCCTTTGAGAGGCTGAGGTGAGTGGATTGCCTGAGCCTGCGGGTTCGAGACCCGCCTGGGAGG